TAAGCCATGATTCGGTCAACACCAAAATGTCGTAGTTATTTGACAGCACAGATAAATACAAATTCTCTGTTTTGGTTCTGAGGCCTCTAACATTTTGGTAACACAAATTAAGATTGAATTTTGAATAATTTATGTAATAAAAGCATGCTGAATTATTATATAATAAATAAAACAATGGAAAAAAATCTAAGTTAAGGTTCTCAGGAAATCTACGCTTTTAACTAAAATGGATGGACTTTCATTCGTTTTGCGTATGAAGATGCGACTGTTGCGAGTCCAAACATATTGGTAGCCTTTCTCTTTAGCAGTAGTTCTGGCAGCGGCGTGCAGCTGCTTATTAGCTAGGGTGAGATGTTCCGACACATATATTGGTTGCTTGTTTTTCACAAAGCCAAGGTGGAGCGCATTTATATTATCCTCGGTTCGACTTTACGATTTATTGAATTTAATAACTGCCGCTAGGACAGTGTTTCGAGGCTGGGGTGTCGCCATCTTGACCACAATGCTGCGGGGACGTACAGAATCGGGCTTAAGTTTAGCCACACGATGTATACCGCGGATGCTCATGTCAGGAAGCTCACAAGACACGGTGCGTAAAAGTAGATTTAATATAGTGTGTAATTTCTCACTTCTACTCTCTGGAACGCACTGCACTTCAATATTGCAGTCTCTGGAGTGCTGCTCCATTTGGGCTACCCTCGTAGTGAGGTCCGACACAATATTCTGTAATGGAGAGTTATCGGCCTCCAACTTTTTTAATTTCTGGTGAAGGTCTGTGTTAATTGCCACCTGTTCCAGCGAAAAAATTAATTGTGTTTTATTTTTCATCAAATTCATTTCGAAATAGTTGTTTATATCAGTAACTTCGGTACGAAGTTGCGACAGAGCCATCCTGAACTGATCGAAACTCTCTTGCTGCGCATTGAATCGTTCATTCATGTCCTTACGAAGGCCCTCAATGGCCGCCAAAATGGGTGACAATTGCTCACGTTCTGACTCCCCGGCCATAGAAGTGGTGAATTTATTTCGCGGGTTCGTGCTAACAAACACCGCAAATTTATTACTTTCACCCATGGTATTGCTCGGCGTACTCGGCGGTGAGCGCTGCACCTTGAGCATAGTGTACAGAAAGCACAGGAAATCGGCCGTGGATAATATATGTAGCACACAAAGTTGAAAGACGAACGTAGAGTCCAACCGGGCAGGTGACGCGCGTCGCTGGTCAACCGTGTCTATTGAAGAACGGTCGTAGCAGCGTAGCGGCGTAGCCGCGTGACGTCTTTCAACATGTAGCGTCTGTACTACGTCACCGAATGTAGCTTGTAGCGAGTTTTTCGCCACGGCGGCAGTTCCAAACTCCGTGGTCGACCGGCACACACGGTGGACTCGCGTTTTCGCACCGCAGGCTCAAATCCAACACAGCGCAACAAATTCAAGAGACTCACGCAAAACTCCAAAAAGCGGCCACACTAGTTCCTCCAAAACGGCACACGACAGCAGCGCCCAGGCAGAGTGGAAAGTTGATGTCACGCAATGATGGTAGAACGGCCGCGTCGCGATGGTTCGCCGTTCCCAACAGGCGCGAGTGAAACAGACGAGCACAGTCCAATATGGCGGCGCCGCTCAATGGTCTTCAGCGCAAGATAATAAGAGAGGGTCCGACTCTCAACAGCCAACAACTCGCCAGCAGGCAACACTCACGCAATTGTAACTAGGGCAGTCGCGACAGACTCAAGATGGCGCCCACCATAAAGCGACCTCCACAGAAGACGAAACGAGAGGGTCCGAGAGTAAATAATTTGCAGAACCGCACTTAGAAGTTGGCAACGGGTGAAACAAACAAATAAACCAAAAATATGTGAGCTATTCGCCACACGTCCGTCCCGTCCGTCGAAATCAACTGAACGTAATTATGGGTATTATCCACTTGCTAAACACATTGATATTGTTTTTGTGTACACATTATGTGGAGTAATTTATCGTTTTACTATCAAAATTGCAACGGGCTCAGAACAAAACTCAATGAGTTGTTTTTATATTTATATTATTATGAAATTATTATTTTAACGGAGACTAATTTGAGTCTGAACATTTTGAACAGTGAATTTATAGATGATAGGTATAATGTTTTTAGACGCGATAGGGATCTTAACACCACATCGAAGTTAAGTGGTGGTGGCTGTTTAATCGCCGTGCATCGAAACCTATGTGTCCGCGGTGCAGTGCGAGTCAGTACCGGGGGTCGAGTTGGTGGCTGTGACGGTTGCGCTGCGCGGCCGAGGCCGCAGCCACGCCGCCCACGCTGCTCCTGGTCCGCTCCCCGCCGCCGTTGGCGGGTGCGCATCACCCACCTATTGATCAGTTATTAATAGTAGCAACATATATAGGTACCTCCAAGCTCTGCAAATGCGATATATGTCGATTATTTTGACAACCTTTGTGACTTGTGTGACAAGTTGGCGCCTTCTGTCGTTTGTGTCGTCGGAGACTTCGATTGAAGTCTTCAGGGTATTTGTTGGGAACAACGGTCTAATAGCTCTCACCTTGAGCCTATAACCAGTAGTATTACAAGTATAGCAACTCCTCTCTTAAATGCTATGTCATACTAAGACTCAAAACAATATAAATAGATTTTTAAATACTAACTATAGAATTCTGGACCTTTTGCTCTGCAATGACAATATTTTAATAAATAGTGATGTTAGCCCTTTACTACCGTTACATCAACATCATCCAGCTATCCTTAGTTGCTTAGTGATATGCTCTGACACGAGCTTACAGACGTCACCCCGTACTAAGTATTTATTTGAAAGGGCATACTATAGTTTAATTAATAAAAAGATTTTATCTAGAGTATGAAAGTGTAGACTCAGCTGTGGATATTTTTTACAGATACATACATGTATGGAATCTTTGATGAATTCGTAGGTACCGAAAAAAGTTTTGAAATCAGAGTGGATTACTTTTGATTTAATTAATTTATACAAACTCAAGCACAAGGCGTGGATCGCACATAAACGTAACATACAATGTAAAGACCTTTATGCATTGTTTTCACTATATCGTAATATATTCAGAGTTGCAGCTACAGTCACGTTTAAAAAATATATGTCCAACTTAGAATATAAAATAACTAATAATATTAAGAATTTTTGGAATTATGTATCAAGTACAAAGACATATAAAAGCTCCTATACTAATACCATGACAATTAATACTTATATCGCTAACGAACCTATTGAAATATGTTCCTTATTTGCATCTTTTTTTCAATCTGTGTATGAACCCGGTACTTTGGATTTCAGCACTTTCACAGAATCTGCAAACATACCTACTGCTGACTGCAAATAATATAGGCAATTTGTTTTTACTTCTTAAAGATATTGAGAAGGAACTTCTAAACTTCTTCTAATCTTCAAATATAAACACTTAAAATTAACTAGCAAAACTGGAGGTGCATGAGAATAAGTCATATTTTTAAGTAGGCACAGGCAGAAAGGTACATTTTTTATTAATTTTTAATTACAGTTGTATTTTTTTTATTTAATAATCACAAAAACATTAACACGGTTTTAATTTACACTGTTAAACCTAAACAAATTTGTATGAGTGTTGCAACTCCTCAACAATGGAATATGTAAAATAACAATTTTATTCAATGTAATTATTCAATGTACGAAAAAAAAATATAATGAAGGTATAACACAATTAATATTAATAAAAAGTTATACAAGCAACCGGCTTACGCGCATATGCTGTTCGAAATCAACATACAGCTTGGCAAAAAAGAGTATGGATTTAATGAGGGCGCCTAGATCAAATATGTGGCAACCCGATATACTACGACGAAAAATGTTTAGATACTTGTTATTTTTGTTTATTGTTAAAGGCTTTTAGCGCCCAGACACACGACCCGAAAACTTTCTTGGTAGGCAACAACATTTAAATTTCTCGGAATAATACAACCGCACGTTGTCCACGCGGTCGCCAAGTGGGCGAAAGCTAAGCCAGCCTCGTATGAAATTCTCCAAACTCTTCTCTTATTTCCAAAATGGGATGAACCCAAAATCATCTCACCTCTTTTTTTTCTTCTTTGCATTATTTGTATAAGTAATAATGCAATAACAACTTGTTTATTTGTAGTTAAACTTCGCATAATTTTAGTAACTGGACGAGCCCAAGTCGGCAAGCAGTAATGTGGTGAAGTTTTTGTTTCTTGAAAACTCTGAATTTAACATGTAAATTCTAAATAAATAAAGCGTATATTATAACAAATATAACAGTTCGGTCTCTAAACACGTGAACTCCGTCACCGCGTCACGGCCGCGCGGCGGCGACATATTCGCGTCAAATAAACGCGCCCTTAGAGTTAATTTTCAATTACCATCAGACTCGATCCACCCACAGTAACAACATAATATAATATAGCAACATAATACGATCACTCACAGAATTATTTGTTTTTATAATTTAAATGACCTTTTTCCTTCTTACTAAGGGACATTCGAGCAGGTTTAATAATTATAATAAAATAAATAGGATAGAAGAGAAAATGAACCATTTATTGTTTGTACAATTTATTCGAATAAAACAAAATAACAATTTAAAATTTTTTAATATATTTAATTTTCGGATAATATCGCGGGTTTTTAGATTCATTTTACTCCCGACGTTTCGAAGACTGATTCCTTCATGGTCACGGGGCGGAATGAGCTGTTGGTCGTCTTCGATGTCTAACATTCGCGTAAAGTTATAAAATTTTAAATCAATCAGATTCCGAAACACTTTCATCGAGATATTCCACCCTAGAAAACTCTATTGTATCTTGGCTAGACGTTCCGGCAACAACAAACTCATCTGAATCACAAGAATCTGAAGTGGTCTCGCTACTGCTCTCATCTCTGACGTTAATAACCAATTTTTCAATGTCGTCATACATAGTCATACCCCTCTCATAATACTCTTTTTCAATTTTAATAACATGTTGGCATGAATTTTTCCAATCTTCGGCAGTAATCGCTTGGAATGCTTGTTCAGCTGCCATCTGTCGGAATAAAAATATTATTGATTATGAGTTCAACTTAATAACATTAAGAAAAACGAATTATGAACTAGATCCCTACCTTTATGTCAATGGACCCTACATTGACAGAGGCAATTTTATGTTTTGCAATTCCCCATATCAATTCAATAGGATTGAGGTCACAATGATATGGAGGCAGCCGTACTACAGTGTGACCATGATCCCTAAATATTTGGTCAATTTCATAAAGGGCCTCTGGTTTGTGGCGTTTTACAAGCATTAACAATTCAGGTTTACGCATCATTTCATCAAATTGTATATTGTTTTGTAGCAACCACAGCTTTACATCAGCAACTTTTGTTGCACTGGTTGGGGCCTTATTGATGACTGTTGTCCATAACAATAATGGAAGGCTCTGTCAAATTGGGAATTAATTTCTCGGTAACCCACTTAGTGAAATTTGCTCTATTCATTTCAGAGAGAATCTTCATTATTGTTTGTGCCACTAAAAATTAATAGTGCATTTAAATATATTGTGTCGCACTCCACTAACTTCAATTGATTGCCAACATTTTTTAAGCTTGTAAGATGAGTGTACGTAGCTTTCATCCAAAAAAATAATATGTTTTTGGAGTTCTTGAGGCAAATTTCTATTATGCATTATAATTTTTAAATATTGTTCCCTCTTTGCTGCTATATTAGGCTTCTCCATTAGTGCCTATCTGTCTGTTTTACATTTTTTGTAAGAGAAACCCAGAGAATGTAATATCTTTCTTAGATGTTCACGGCTTCCATTAAATCCCAAATCTTCTTTAACTACAGGTAATAAATTTCGTAGTGTAGTACCTGAGAAAAAAAATAAAAAGTTTTTATTTATTACATAATACTGTTTTTTTATTGAAGAAAGTGGCATTAATATAAAATATAATACATGCCTGTTTTTTTACCGTGTAGAAGAAATGAACCTTTTGTCTAATTGCGCAAAGGTCAAAATCATCGAGATCTTTCTTTGGTCGAACTTTCCTATGTTTACCAGGTGTAGAAAACACGCCATTATTTTTTTCACCTTCTTCAACAATTTTTCTTATGGTATTGACAGATTTACCTAAAATAAATACCAAACTTACACAAATATACAAAAACACCAATTTATTTGAATTTTAAGTCTTGAAAGAATCAAAAATATTAATTCAACTTATAAATGATACGTAAACATAACCTTAGTTACTATTTTGTCAACTAAACACAAAAACTCGTTAATTGTATATTATAAGTAGTGCAAAGTGCATAATTCGACATGTAGAACGTAATAATAATTGAATAATTTGCATAAATACCTGTCATATCGGCTGTTCTCTGATAAACATTGTTAATTTCAGACAAAATTTGTCCCGCTTGAGATTCAGCCAAACATCGTAAAAAAACTTGGTATATCACTGTTCTACCACTACTACGAATCGTTTTGTTCATTTTAAATAACAAAACAAGCAACAACCGCACGAGAATTTACAGAGCTTCGTATAAAATTACTCAGCGCATACAGCAATAACACAAAAGCTACTGGTTATTTGACACCACTGACATTTTTAATAGTGTTGCCACAAATATCTTTTTTTAGTTCCAGTTTTCACCGCGTCATACTCTTTTTTGCCAAGCTGTATAATGTGCCACTACTACGCGTGACTTACTTATAAGAAGAAAAAACGAAGATATACTATAGATGTACTATGAAGACATGTACTATAAATTTATTATTATTATGTTATATTCCGTCCACAATCCGCGTACAGATCGGTAACACGATCGACTGTACGTTTGCAAGGTCGGTCGACCACCGTTGAGGGACATAAACGAGAATTATGGCTTCTAAGGCTCAACTCACACTGGCGCAGAGTCGAATCGTCGCGTCGCCGTCGAGTCCTGTTTTTCAACTACAACGTCTGGCGACAGACGTCGACGAGCGACAACAGTGCACCCGGATCACAGTGTGGTCAGCGTCTGACGCCTCACTGCGCCCAAGTAACGCTCGGCGACGCGCGTCGACACGCGAAGCCGCTCTATTACAACCAAGCGTCGACGTGCGTCGACGCGCGACTCCATATTTGCATAACACAAATTGGTACCTTAGTAATGGGAAAATAGAGATAAATATGCTATAGGTGAAAAACATAACGCGTCGCGACGCTTCGACTCTGCGCCAGTTTAAGTTGAGTTTAATAGTTCGAATATTGTGAAGTGTAATTTGTGTAATATAGTAATAAATGAAGTGCTTGCGTTTGTGCAAAATAAAATTCCACATACGGACGATGACACTTTATCCAGATTATTTGAGTACGTTTCCGGAAGAGGAAATCTTTACCGCCAAAAAACCATAGATTTAGTATTAATGTACAGGTACCCAAAGATTGGCATATGCAAGTGAAAGAGCGTTAGTATACGCGTATGTTAGAGCGAGACGGGTAGACGAAACCATTTCATTACGTGCTATGAGCCTGTATGAACCTAGTGTCAGTTGAGAACGAAACAAATTTCATTTATTTTTGAAAAATATTGGGTTTCAAAGTGTGAAATAGTGTTAATTTTACATTAATTAGTCATGATGAGGCGCGCAGTGCCCGGATGTAACACATCTAAAAACGAAAACTCACAGAATGGTACATTTCACATGTAAGTACTATTTCAATTTTTAGCTGTCGAAAAGCACTACCACAGAAGTTGTGTACCTGAATATGTCAGGTCCTATAAACCACCCGGATTTAACGTGCTCACTACGGGGATTCCAAACAAAGTCAAAACTCCATTATAATTTGGTTGTCACATTTTTATTGTTCACTGCCAAATAGTATACGGTACAAAATACTTAGAAGATTTACACAGATTTACGCAGAACTACTTATGGCGAGGAATATCGCTGGAATCGTTCGGATCGGGCGCGCGACAGATGATGACTGACCGAGCACACGCGGAGGGCTGAAAACGTAACGTCAGCACATGTGTCCCTACAATATTCCTCCTCATAGGTACACTTATACACTTAACAAAACTTACATTTACTTAAAATACACTTATTAGTAAATACCATGAAACACTTTTACACTTCACTACCTACTAATAGTGCACTTGAGTTGGGGGACTGTTTGGGCCGCGATCGTTTGTCGGGCCTGTCCTGCTGCTGTCCTGATAGATGCTACTAAATGTTTAATTAACTTTTTCTTAGCTTTTCTTCCACAACGTTTAAATATGGTAAGTACACAACCCAATAGAATCAAAGTAATGATAACTATTGTGATTACTGAGAAAATCTCTAATTTTTTTTTGGTATTAGATATGAGCAGTAGCTCATTTGCTCCATTTTGAGCAATAATGACATGTTCGGTTTTGCTCTTTTGTTTTACCCATTGTAAAAATATATACGAGATAACTGTATGTACTCGATGAATAGAAGATTAATAATGATCTTTCGTATTCAGTAAGATTTGCTACAAGATTCTGCTTACGATGTTAAAACCTAGATACATGAGAAATTTCACAACTTCATGTGCAACATTGCGCTTTTGCTACATTTTACTCTACTGATCTAATTATTATCCTAAATTGCATGCTAGAAGAATTAAGTACAGTTGGTAACAAATTGGTACAGAATTTTTGTTCAGAATACGTGTCGTAGTACCTAACTTATTGTCTACTGTTACCTATTGTCTAATTTAATCCTATCTATATAGATTTTTAGACTTTCGTGGTTATTCACTAAATGATTATCACTAATATCAGGTTTCTTACCACGGTTTCGGAACGGTTGCACGCTCCATGGTCACGGGTTGACTGGACAGCGGCAGATGACAGCTTTAAGAGCAGACATATCTGAATACCCTCTTGCGCTGTCGACGACTACCTTCATCGCGATTTGTTGTGGTGTTACCATTGTCACTCACTTTTTTCACACAAACCACACTCACTGTATCCACACGCGAAACTGAACTCCAGGTGTTTTTGTTTTTATTACTGCACGCACTAAGGACCGGATTCCATGCACTGGACAGTTTAAAACCATCATCACGGTTAAATGTTTTGTACTTCGTGATCTCGATGGCTTCTCGTACCAACCGTGGTATGTAGTGACGTTCTGGTGTAATATTGTGCTGTTCATTTTCTAATAACACGTAGGTGGGATTAAATCTGTTTATCGAAACTTGAGCCTGCCTATAGGGCAATCGCATTAGATAAACTTTTGTACCTCTTTCAAATACACGATATGGACCATTGTATGGTAGTTTTAAGGGTTTACGAACTGTGTCTACTCTTACAAAAACAAAATCGCAGTCTTTTGTTGTAAAAATGTTGTATTACTGTTATGCGACTTGTTGACTGTATAAGATTTTGTAACGCTTTACGAATTTTCTCGACAGCACTAAAGGGGTCGATGGGAGTGAACCATGCACTTTTAGATGGTCTATAAATTCCTAGTTCCTGCATTGTACGAAATTCCTCTTTCTCTTTTTTTGTACCTGTCAGGTGGTAAAGGTCGGGCACGTGCATCTACCGGTGCTCCTGACGTTTCGATGTAATGCTTAACATTGCGCGTAGGTGATTCCTTGAATGACATCGGTTTAGTGATGTCCAAAAACTTAGATAAGTCGTGAAACGGATGATCATCATTAATCGACTTTACAGAAGGTTTGCTATATTTTACTACAAAAGCGGATGCATTTAATTCAGTTACCTGGTCTACCAGTCGACGTCTGCTCAGGTCTACTAACAATTTGTAGTACGCTAGGAAGTCTGCACCCAAAATTGGTTGTGTTACATCGGCTACGATAAAGTTCCAACGAAATTGTCTACGTAAATTTTCGTTTTGTTTGCGCAAATAGTTTATATAGTCTGATTCGCAATTCACTTTCCACTTTTTAACTACCGGCAGCACTGATACGTTGGCACCCGTATCTATTAAAAAACGAAGTCCACTGGTACGATCTGTGATGCAAAGACGGTGATTAGATAACACGGAACCGGCTGCCGCCACAACTCGGTCCGTGCGACCTAGTTTTCCGCCTTGTCTTTCCAGGCGCAGGGCTGCTCGCACTTCTGTGCTCTATTACGGAATTTGTAATGATAATAGCATAACCAATCTGGAGAGGCTGCAGCAACCTCGTACGGCGTAGTACGGCGTCGTCGTTGCGTCGACGGGGTACGATATCTTCTTCGAGACGTTGAACGGTTTCGCCTACCGAAATTACGGTTTCTGGATCTGCTACGTTTGAGGTGTTGCACTTCCGCTGACAACTTTGCTATTTCGGCAACCATATAAGCTACGTCGCTGGTTGTAGCACTTGTACTCGGTTGGGTTGGTGCACTTCTGCAACCTGATTTAAACGCATTGCTTCTCCTACTTTATCTGCTACTTGTTCTAGCTGGTCTAAATTTTTTGTGCCTGCACAGCAAGTACGACTCGGAAGGTCGTTGGCAGGTGGCTTTGCCATAGAACACTCAAGGTATCTCATGTAAATTTGTTTCGTGACAGGTCCTTCATGCGGTAAAGTAGCTGTGAGGGTTTTTGGTCACCTAATTCCATCTCGTTCAATAGTTTTTCGATTTGTCGCGTGTTGCTATCTTGGTACTTTGCTAATAATTTGTCTTTTAATGCTGTAAATTTGTGTCTAGCAGGTGGTGATTCTAGAATTTCTGAGAGCTCGTCGATTGCGTGTTTATTTAATTTTGAATCAACTAGATCGAATTTTGCGTCGTCGCTCAACTTTTGCGGTGTTAAAACTGCTTCCGTTGTAATGAAACACAGTCGAGGTTGATTTGTCCAAAAACTTTTTGTACTCCTCTGAAATGTTTCTAAGCTGTACGTTGCAGCCGTGCAACATAAAGGAGTCTTCTCTCCGTCACGTGCGCGATTTCTTTTTAAACGTTCGGGGTCACCACTTTAGGAACTGTTCTGGGTGGTCCTATTAACCACCCGAATTTGTGCTCACAACGGGAATTCCAAACAAAGTCAAAACTCCATTATAATTTACTTGTCACACTTTTATTGTTCACTGCCAAATAGAATACGGTACAAAATACTTAGAAGATTTACACAGATATACGCAGAACTACTTATGGCGAGGAATATGGACTCGTTCGGACCGGGCGCGCGACCGATGATGACTGACTGAGGGTTGAAAACGTAACGTGCTGACGTTACGTTTATTACGATGTGTCCCTACAAATATTTCATTTTTATTGCATAAACCTGTACAAAACACAACTTTTGCAGCAAAAATGTAACTTCAAGTAACTAAACGTAATTTCAATTCAGGGGCCCTGGCAAACACTGTCGGGGATACACGCGCCATTCGCAGCTAACGGATGTACAGTAGGCCCAAACTGATAATTCGTGGACATAGTAGGAATAACTTGTACAGACCTGATTTTTTTAATACGATAAATGTAAAGGACATCCCTGACAACTTTTATTCTTGTATGATTTCTTTAAAAAATTGATTGTATCCAGAGAAAACAAAAATATTTCCTTTTTTTATATGGATAATATTTGTCCATATAAAAAAAATATTTTATTTTTTGTCTCATGATATACAAAAATGTTATGTGTACTTTGGGGTGACACGACGGATATAGCTAGATTGCGGCGTTCGTCAGGGAGGGCTAACTTCTCCGGGCCTCTTCAGCCTTTACGTCAACGGGTTGATCGAGGAGCTGAGGGGTGCCAATGTCACATGTCGTGTGGGTGAGGTGTGTGTAAACACCTTCAGCTACGCTGACGACATGATACTTCCCAGTCCTTCGTTTGGATGCCTGAGACAGCTGGTTTAAATCTGTGAGCGCTACTCTAGGGCTCATAGGTTGAATACAATGCCACAAAGACCGAAATGATGGTCTTCAGAGCCGGGAGATCCGGAGAAGGTTCCGGATCTTTTCCTGAACGGATCACTGGTAAGGAGATTGCAACAGTTTAAATACTTAGGCCATGTTCGACGATGACCTTCGTGATGATTTAGATATTGAACGAGAGCGGCGTGCCTTCTATGTAAGAATAAGCAAGAATGCGTGCAGGCTTGCGAAATGTAGTAACCAGTTTGCCTAGGACATTTTACTTTACTATCAGGATTCAATACAACGACGCGTTCCGAATCCCAGTGAAACTGCCTAGATTTAGCAGTGCGTCGAGCATATTTTGCTTAGTCTCGCATTCCGGACTTTTTCGCCATGTTACGAGCAAGTGTGGCCTCTTTTTGGAAAAGACTGCTTGCATCTGACAATGCAATCCTGAGAGCAGTATGTGACGCTTATTTTGACAGCTCCAGTTTTAAATACTGGCTGCCTGTCCACTGGGGTGCGAATCGTAAATGATAATTACCCATTTATGGTATTGCTTAGTTTAGGTCATTCATTTCAGTTCATTTCTTTTGTATCATGTAATTTATTCTAAATAGGTAAGCATGTCTAAAGTTTATTAGTATGTGTGCTAATGGGTACTCAAAATGTACTATTTTTGTAATACCTGAACAAATAATTTATTATTGTTACTACATTTACTGTTATATATTATTTGCGCTTAAATCTGAACACAGATAAATATCGAAGATGTCGACGACGAGCCATTGTACATTAGAGAACACGGTTTTTAGGAAAGGCGGTCTCGGACGCGGCACAGATTGTGTTCATTAACGTAGCATTGCTGATCGGGAGAAGGCGACATCTCGTTTACACTGGATTCCCTGGCCGTAGGCAGGGCCATCTCACACATAATTGTCCACCACTGCGCCATCGTATGCGTTTACAAAGATATGGGGTATTATATTTGAAACACAAAGTGTTGTCAAGACGAGGCCGATATTTCCATTATATACATATTTAACAGCCGAACTTCATGAATGCGGAGAAGGGATTTGATTAGCTTATGGCATAAGTTTGATTCACCTCTAGGCAAGCTGAAATCTTGTGGCATTGCGCGCGTGCGTGCGCAACGACATGGCGTGTCGGGGCACGCGCAGAGGCGAGGTCGCGGCGCATGGCCCCAAAACACCGAGAACGGCGGCCCCGTGCCTTGCCCCACTGTCGCTGTCATGTCCTGCGAACGCCATGGCAAGGGCCATAAAAAAATCGAAGCGCCTCTCCCGGCTATTTTTTATAGCCATTTTTATGTATTTTTTTGTCTAAACATGGAAATCTAAATCAAATCAAACTTCTGATTGTCTTCTGAAGTAGATGTGGAAGCTGTCCGCGTCTGCGTCTGCGTCTTTTACGCAACTTTAGCGAGTACTAAGTATTGTACTGTACTGTAATGAGGCTCGAAATATGACGACGGATTTTATAAATGAAACTTTGGGGTCTCCGCTTAATATATGAATGGTTTTCAGTTTAATCAAACTTTCTGAAATTGACTGAATTTAATAAACAGTGTAAACACACTTTCATACACAGTTTAAAGTGACAAAAACTCCTACAGCTGTATGTATATTAATTATGTCAAGCATTGACTTACAATTATATGGACGTCGGGTCCGCGCTAAAAAGTATCCGAACTTATAGGGCGTTAAAATCGTATACAGAGCGTCATTCACGCTTTAGTCTTCGTTTGTTCGACTGACAGCGAAGTAAGCAAAATTAGATAGTACTGCGATGACATTACAATTTAAATTCAACGTTTTAGCTTTTTCATATTCCTTTACAAGTCACTACGCTTAAATAGATTGATTTGGGACATTTTTTTCGTGGTTTTTATATTAGACCCGTCGTCCATTTATTTGTAAGTCAATGATGTCAAGTCCAAAATAGATCTTTGGTGCGTTTACATATGATTTGTATACTCGTATCTACAAGTACGTACTTACCACGGTGTAACTTCTTTTTATTTTCCCGATATTTCGGAACGGTTCCGTGGTAAGAAACATGATATTAGTGACAATCATTTAGTGAATAACCACGAAAGTCTTCAAATCTATATAAGTACGTACTTGATGAACTCGAGCGACTATGGGCTTAATAAACGAGCCTTTGTCAGTAACTATCGTTCGACTTACACTGCTAGCAATCCCGACTGTTACACAATATTTTGATTAAATTTACAGTATTATTCTGCCTGCAATTCAGAACGAATGATGTAAATGATAAAATGAAAAAATGCTTGCGAAAGTACGTGGACTACGTGGTACGCAATCGAATGCAATATGGGAGGCGAGGAATTGCCCTACCTGTTTCCATATACTTCTTTCTTTGGTGGCCGAGTAATCTCTTATATTTTCAAACGTTTGGAGGACTTCGATAAAGGTGCTTTTGGTTATGACGGGTGTCGGTAGAAATAATTTGCATTGTAGTTCGAACCAGACCTGCTGAGCTAGGAGCCGCGCGCGCAGATTTTGCTGCAATGGCCCGGGAGTCCTGTAGAACACTTCGTTGAGCTTGGACCTAATCGACCGGCAGTACCCTTTCATGTCCTTGACGTCCAGGTTATCATCATCAATGTTAAATTCTGAGCGTCTCCTATTATTTACACCTTCTTTCCGGTTCATTTTCACATAGGCCGTCATATCGTCAGGGCAGGGGCAAGGTGGAATAGGTCTTTTCTTAAACTTGATACTCTTGTTCGAGTCAGCTGCGCATTCCTCGCTGTTAATGACGGTGTAGTTGTTGGTGGGCAATACGCTTGGACTGGCGCCAACCACTACGGTGGTCGGTATTGGCCTCTGATGTGCATCGTCCTTAGGATTTTGCCAATATAGCGGTGCCGACACTTGCCGTGTCTCATCCCTAAGCAAAGCAGCCGCAGCCATGGCTTTATTGTCATCGTGCCTAAGTGGCGACGTGACCTCGCCGCAGGGTTGGTGGTGCAGGGATAGTTGCTGACGCTGCGACTGTAGGCTGTTCGGTGCCATGGGCAGCTTCGGCTATTTGCGTCTTAGCTCATCGCTCACCCCGTCGTTGTCATTCCTATAACACTGCATTGAAAATACGTAGCTCAATTAAACATCGTTAATGCTGCTTCAAGTTTAATTCTAGTTTCGTTACAATGAGTTTATCTATTTCTTATTATTTTTTATTTCAATTTTATTGTAGATTTTTTCTTAGACGTTCTAACCAAAGCAATTTTCATGTACTGTTTTGATTATTGTACGAGAAGGATTTTAATTACTATATGGCACGTCATAATTTCTTTTACAGCGGCCAGCAGGCTTATGCCAGTGTCAGTTTTACTTAAAGGATGGAAAAAAAAATAAAAGAATAGTTTCCATAGTCTAAGCAGTTTTATCATGAATACTCATAAACTATACAAATTACTCTCAACTCTTACACTATGGATTCCATCATCTAAGCCTCAACTTTGTCAGGGCCCGTACCACGAACTTTACTAAAACGAATCAATAATGAAGCAGCATCGAAGCAGTTAAATTTAGGATCCTAAACTGAATCGTTAAAATTGATTCGCTTTCGAAGCGCTAATCCGCGAATGCATGAGCGATGTTTGTCTCTGGTCCGCTACCATTTTGTCTTAAACTATGGAAACTTTAGAGGATGGAAAAAATAAAAGAAAGGAGCTGCCCTAACTACGGAATGAACGTGCATACTTTAACAAAAATTGAACGAATAAATGGCGGATTTCTTTAGTGTCGTACCATAATCTATCGAAAAGTCATTATCGACATACAAACATTTTATTAAAGTAGATCAATATTCCATTTGGGAATATTTTAGGTTATATGGGAATATCCGGGAATGTCACATGAAATTATGAATTTATTGTTTTGCGTTTACAAATACTCAAATATTACGAAAAGTGAATTTGCACAGAAAAAATGTAATTTGAGAGTAGATAAAAAAGAGAAAACTTTGAAATATAAATCCTATATTTCCAATCTCAAGATTCATATTTTCATAGAGAAATTTTTAAACAGATTCCAAATAGTGTAAGCTTTTTTGTATTTATGCATTGGTATAGAATTAATACCAGTGACTGATTGAAGTGAATCTTTAATACTTCCATTTAATTTTGGAAATAAATGAAAATAGTAATATTATCAATAATAATATTATTATCATACGTTTATTTGCTTAAAACATGGTATAACAGGAGATGTAACAAGGGACAGTGTTAGTATAAACATGTTTCACATATATTAAATAGCATGCAATTGTCTGATTACACAATGTCAATCGACTACTATTGGCCGAGCACCTTTTGTAACACATTTTTTTTGGTAGATCTCCTGAATGCCAGAACAAAAACAAAATTTATCTTCTCTCCTTGGTATTTTTCCCATACAGATTGTTACAGTACATTGAAATAAATGACGAAACATCTAACGAAGGAAAGAATCCAGAGGTCA